GGCAAGGAACTATGGACCAGGACATCTCTGGGTCACAGCAGTGGTATGCAAGGTCTCTGGGCCGCTGTCATACGAAGTGGCCTTGGACGATGGTCGTGTGATCCGACGTCACATTGACCAACTGCGCTGGAGGCTTCCCAGCAACTCTTCCGCTCCTGGCTCTGCTCTTGGGGGGGAGGAGGACCACAATTATGATTGTGGACCACGGTCTCTCCAACATCCCCAGGCTTCAGCTATTGCTCCAAACAGGGAGTCCGCAGAAAGGGGGTTCGCCATGGAGCCGGCTCCGGCCTCTGGCACCTCCGGCACATACACGGGGGCCATGGGGTATTGGGGCACATCAGCCACTCAGGCCACTCCAGCTGCTGGTCTAGGGCTTGAGGGACAGTGCTCCCAAGAGGAGTCCATTGTGGACTTGGGGAATTCCACCCCACCACTGGACTTGGGGAATTCCATCCCCCCAAGGAACCCTGGCTTGGATTTAGCGGATCCAGTCAGCAGCTGGGTGGGTCCCCTGGGTCCTTGGGGCAACAAAGTCCTGGTCTGCCTAGCCTGGCAGGCGAGCTGGCAGGCCAGGCACACACACCGGCCATGAGAAGATCAGGGCGGGCCAGAGGTCCTCCCAAATACTTACAAGTCTATGTACAGTCCTTGTCAGTTCATGGGCAGGCCGAGTAGTCTGGGTTAAGTAACGCAGCTCAAGAGGAGTGGGGAGTGTGGCTGTAGCAAGACTGTAGTGTTGTGTATATATATAGATGCAACGTAAGCAATGTAATGGAGTGTTGGAGTATTTAAAATAATAAGTGTGCCTTATTATTTTAGCCAAGGGGGGAGGGGTGTTATGTCCTGGGCCAGCAGGCGCAGGCTGCAGCGATTGGCCCGGGCAGACCATGTGGATGCCCGGGACAAGAAAGGCTGCTCCCATTGCAAAGGATCTTTTCCACGGCGGGAAAAGATCCTTTGCAATGATTGGCTAGCAAGGTATTGTGCAGGGGGGCTATAAAAGGGGGCCACACCATTTTAAAATCTGTTCTGTTGGTGTTTGCAATAAAGGAGAACTGTTGGAACTCGTTGCTTCGTCTCGATGCCTCTTCTTCAACCCTACATTGATTGTTTTTTTTCTCCCTAGGCTCTGCTACTTGTCCAAAATCAGAGGTGTCCCTTCTTCAAGGACCACAACAGTTGTTGCAGTGCAGTGATCTAAGCTGGGAAAAGAGCTCAAGAATTCCATTAGGCACTAGCAGAAGTCACAGAATCTGGACTTCCTTTTACAATAGCTAGATTCAGACATTTTAAAGCAGAATGCATTAATTTGTGCCTTAACATGACGTCGCGAGTTTGACATGTCTGTTCTAAAAAGTCATTCTCCTCACTTCAACCTAAATTAATATTGCTATTTCAAAAGCCTACTTGTTCCATTCTTTTCCAACAGAGTGTTTAATTTTGATATGGCACCCTCCAGTTGTGTTTAATTTCATCTCTCAGAATACCTAGCCCAGGTACCAATAGCATTTAGAGATTATGGGAACTGAAGTTGATTGCATCTGGAAGATTGAGACATACAACAAGGCCCTTGCTGGTTGGTTCTTAATTCTGAATTTGCACGACACTAAGCCAAGAATCCTAGCTTAACCTGTGATTGAAGAAGTCACTCCACTTGGCATGTCACCAAGCTAGTTCGAAGAAAACAGATGTTATGCACAAACTGAAAAATAGGATTGAATGTACCCTAACAGGTCAGGATTTGTAAGTTAACCATTGAAGTGGATAAAATGATCTTAAACACCTTAGCTTGTTTGGACATATCCAACTATGATCAGAGACTCACATAACACAAAGCAATCTTCCTAGCTACATGAAGGGAAGTATGAGTGGATGCATGTACCAGTGGGCTACACAAGCTTGATTTCCCAGCTCAAGAATATATATTTCCAGGATCAACCAATCCTAGATTACATTTTAAGCAATGCAGTCTTCGTTTAAAAAAAAAAAAAAAGCCTTTGAGCCAGTGTTGCCCCCTGGTGACTGCCTGGATTAATACCTGCAGTTTTCTTGGCAAGATTTCAGAAGTGATTTGCCATTTCCTCCTCCTCAGCGTTGAGTGAGTGACTATTAAAACTCACAGGCTCCTGGTCTCTAGGCCAGCACCTTAACCACTACAGCAAACTGGCTGTAGGAGATGACCAGGCTGAGCCCGAGGGAAGGGTTAAGCACATCATCAGTCTTGAGTCCCTTCTTGCCCACAAGAGATCTAAGTCCAGCCCACCTTGAATTCTGTTGATTCTTATCTACCGCTAATTTGCTTTGACTGTTACCAGTTCAAATTCTTGTAGAGAGTGCTACCGTGTTTCCCCGAAAATAAGACCGTGTCTTTTTTTTTGCCTCCAAAAGGGGCACCAGGTCTTATTTTCGGGGGATGTCTTGCTCACCTCTGGCACCCACAGCCCCGCCCAGCAGGTCCACTTCTTCTGGGGCCGAAGGAGTAGCTTCATTCTGCAACTGCATTCTGGCCTGCATTTTGCAGTCAGGCCTTTCTCGAAGGCCTATGCAGCCGAGAACCGAGCTATGGATTCAATCCATAGCTCGGTTCTCAGCTGCAGTGGCCTTCTGGAAAGGCCTGTGACTGAGAAATGCAGGCCTGGCTACAGAAGATGCCGCAGAAGTGGGCTGGTGAGGAGAGGCCTGGCTGTAAGTGGGTGCAGGGTGCATGGGGCAGATCCACATCCCTACCCCCGCCCTAGCTTGATTTTTAAGTGTGTGCCTCGCCCCAAAACTAGGGCTTATTTTCAGGGTAGGCCTTACTTTCGGGGAAACATGGGCATGCATTAAACCTGTATTCATTTGACTGCCTTGCTTCCTGATTTCTTGTGCTTGACATTGGCTCTGTTAAATTGGCTCCGTTTTTGTGTTCTAAAACATCCTAAACATTCTTGCCATTATGAATGAAGTTGAATATATGTGTCCCAGGATAATGTTGCAGGATCCAATCTGGGTTGGTCACCAGGACCAGCAGTTTTGTCTTCCGAGCTTTTGGACTCATACTGGAGCCCGTCTTCAGGGAACCTCTCTCTAGCAGAGTGTGTTTCTTGCCATTTCTTGCAAGTACTACAATGCCTGATCCAAGTTGGCAATGCAACATGATTTAAGCTATGTATGTTCAAAAAAACCCATCCACATTACCCTTCAAAGCATCCCTTTTCTCAGCTCCTTCACACAGCACTTCTTCCAGTAGTCCTCTGCCACATGTCAGCCCCTGGCCTATGCCATTCCAGTTAGTTTCCCTGCCCTCCCCAACAGATAAAACCATCTAATCAATAATGATTTTTGAGCAGAAAAGAACAGCATTCATTATTCAGAAACTATTTTTTCCCCACCAGATATGAATATAGAGGTACACAGGTTTATCACCCTTGAAAATGGATACAGGAAATTACCCAGTTCTCCATCTCAAGATCTGCCTCTCCCTTTCAGAATTTTTTTATTGTAATCTTGCCTGAGATTCTTACTTTCTTATCCACTTGGCTCAAATCTATAAATTAAAGCAAGTCACCTTGCAGTTTGCTGCATGTTTTCCCCACATTCTTAACCCACTTACAAGTCCTCCAGAGCCCTAATCTTTTCAACAGATGGCTATTTACCCTAATTCCTACATATTTCTTTGGTACACTAATGCTTATACTACAGGTAGAAGGGGCTTCATAGGGTTTTGGGTTGAAGCCTATTCAAAACAGGTACATCAGAAATAGAGCAACTCCAAAGTGACTGTCTAGAGGCTGATGTTCTCCAGCAAGTAGAACCAGCTACCATGGTAAGCTCACCAATTCCATTGTTGAACTGCCTTCACCTTTGAGAATTTTGTCCTAATGTTTGCTTACTCTCATCTCACAGGTCTAGTTGTGCACTGCAGTCATGACCCTTCTCATTCCTCAAGTTACCTTTCACTTTTCCTTATTGGTCATGTCTTCCTTTCAATTCACAATCTGAGTTTCATTCTTCTAAACTACTTCTATTTTCAGACAAGCACAGGGTTTAGACTACAGACCAAGACAAAAATAGGATTTTGCTAATCATGGATATGAATGAGATCAAGAGCATAGTCCAAGAAAGCCACAAGAGGCATGTTGGGCTCCAGATTGCTCTGATATGGAGAACATAGGTGGCTCTAGCAGGACATTCCCATGGATAGTTAAAGTCCAAATCTGAGTGCTGGTTAAAACTAAAGACCTGGATTATGCATTACCCATTTCGTCAACAAGGTGGTACTTATTTACCCTCCAAATATATAAAAATCATTTTAACAGACCAATTGGGAAAGGAGTGTTATTCCCAAAGTTCTGTTAAATATGATAGTACATCATTGCAGTTATTTACATCATTTGCATTTTACATTAGACAATTTGCATGATTTTATTCAAATGGATATAAATTGACACAAACTGTAACATTAGGCAAATGATGTGAATTCCTGCAGATGTTATAAAATTAACATCAGATTAATGTAAATTTACCTGTCTCATCCAGATACCTTTGGGTGCACTGGTCTGTTATTTTCGGTTATGTCTTGACACAAATCTGATCTGTTGTATCTGCAGTCTGTGAAATGTGGGTCTGTTGAGATTTCATTGTGTGTCTGTGCCAGTTTGTTTAAATTAAAATGCCTCATAAACATGCTGTATTCTCACATGACACCTCATGAGATTTTTGGCACTTTTGAAAATTGGTACCTCCAATTTCACATGAAATAGCATGATGGTGCTTGCCACCTGAAAACCATGCCAACCCCTTCTCTAACACAAGGGAGAAGTTGCAGTCTGCAAAGAAGTTGATGTCTACTCATTAACCATCAAAAAGGTATCCTTTGGGGGGAAAACACTCTCTCATGATGATAGTTGCAAATGCAATCCATCTGCCTGCCACAAAGCACGAGATCAAGATTCCTACCCCAAGAAAGCCATAGAAACCACATTACTGAAAGATCAGTGCCCAGTTTAGATGGCTAAATGAAGTTTTATGAAGAGAAACAGGGTGGGAAAGAGTATGACAGACAAAACGTACAACTAGAGGCAGGAAATGAAGGGTGTTTGCCTATCCAAGGATGACAGGCATCTGCCATCTATATGCCAATCATGGTACTGCCATTTCATGTCCATTGACAAGAGGGTAAGGATAAAACCGTCAAATTAAAAACATGCTAAATGAGTAAAAACTAGGTGTGTCAGAGGACTCACATCCACTCATATTGTGGGTGCTTGAGAGTGATGAAACTAAAAATTAGCCCCATCTTCTGCCATCTGTATTTACAGAGTAAAAGACAAGTTGATTTTGTGGCTAAAACTGTGAAAGTGTTCAGGAAAGGGAGGTTTCCAGGGCAGGTAGCAGATGCACAAGAACTGTACTGTACAAATGCCACCCCTCCAAAACAAAATGTATCACCCCAACCTCTTTTCCACTTGCCCCACAAAGTGATGGGGAAAGGGCTGGGGGGCTCAACCAAGCCAATTTACATGAAGAAGAGCTGCTGTTATTTTTTTCCTCCCTTTCATCAGAGATTAGAGCGGGGGCATGGGCAAGCCAAATTTGTCCAGTTCCCCTACTTCCTTGGAAGGCCCTGGCTCTTCATCCATCTTTCGTCCATGTTTTCGAAAGTACTTGTACCTCTGGACATAGGCCTTCAATAAGTTATTCACCTTGACAGGGTTGATTTCACCACTCTTGCTGTGGCAGATCTAAAGATGGGAGTGAAAGGGAGGAAGAAGAAAAGAAAGTGATTTCCATAACTCTTTGCTCCTCTCTGCTCTCACATTTTTGCTCTTGCGTCCCCTCTGTATGGTGCCACTGCTTTACCTTGTGGACAGCTTTGCGTAGAATGTCCTTGTATTCTTCCTTGGTGATCTCCTTTTTCTGGTAATAGGGCTTGATGGCTAGTTTGACTTCCTCCACTGCTCGCTCTTGGGTGTGAAGCTTTTTCAGATACTGCAGGAAACACAGGCAAGGCAGTCAGAGGAAGTCAGTATAGGAGGAGCAGGCAAGGTAAAGTGGCAGCAAAGCAGAAAGTAGTTCCAGGTCCCTGGTAGTGAGGTTCCGAAAGCTGAATGGTTGGAAAACAGGGCCATGTTTTTCTTTGCCCAAAGTCCAAATTGTGGCAACCATCTGACCTCTTTCAGATATAGTTTTACAGTGTGATTATGGTCCCCAAAGAGAACTCTTGCAGTGGAGGCAGTGGTTTCTGTATCAAATGCAGGGATGCATCACCTTTCTCAGGCCAAGTGTAGGTAGAGTCCAGACAAGAAAATGGGTGAGGCTTGAACAAAAACTAAATTTTATTTGCATTTAATTGAAAATTAAATAGTCTTCACTATTTTATTTTATTATTTGCTGCCCCTTTCATTTCAAAGTGACTCTGGGTGGCTTACAGCATTAAAAGCATTAAAATAATAAACGATAAATATTTCTAAAAACAATAAAAATAGAAATTACAATGAAAAATAGAATTATAGTTGAAAGATGGGGAGGGAGGGAGCAGGATGCACCGGGGGTGGGGGGGTGGGATTGCCTCTTAATTCATCAACCACCTCCAGTGTGATGCTCCCCCGTTGGGGTTCCAAGCCATCTCCAGGTCTTCAGGCTTTTTTGGAAGGTCAGAAGGGTGGGAGCCAATCTCACCTCAGGGGGTAAGATATTCCAAAGGGTAGGTGCTACGGCACAGAAGGCCCTTCTCCTGGACCCCACCAACTGGAATTCCTTGACTGATGGGGCCTGCAGCATGCCTCCTCTGCCGGCGCAGGTAGGGTGGGCCAGTCCCATAGGGGTGAGATGGTTCTTCAAGTAACCTCTTACCACCATGAGATAGGCCTTAATAGTGGCTCTATGTTGTGTCCAGTCGGAGTCATCCTTCGTTTTCCTCCAGCGGCACTCTAGGCAACTCTTAACCCTTTTCAGGGAGAGTCAGAAGTGATGGGTCAAGAGAGGCCGCATAGGTGCAATCCTGTCCAGAACCCTGGGTATTCTTTGATTCCAGGACGTTACCAAGGTTTCAGCAGGGATGTGCAATAAAACTTCTGGGATGTCCCTCAGTTCCCTCTGGAACCCAATCGGGTTCTAATGGGCCTGGCTGCCCTGTGAAGGGGGGCAGTATAAGATAATCTCATAGATACCAGGGCATGATCTGACCATGGCAGGGGGGATGTTAGATTCCCCCACCAGATCATGTTCACATTGCTCCAAGAAGAAAACCATATCTGGTGTGTGACCACTGTCAGAAGTTGAGCCCAAGATGATCTGGGATAGGCCGCGATGGTGGCCATGAATTCCTGGGCTGCTTCCAAGGCCAGACCCAGGGATGGCAGGTTGAAGTCCCCCAGAACCGTAAGTCTGGGGAGCTTTACCGCCAGATGAGATGGCCTCCAGTAGCTCAGGTAAGGAGGTTGCCACACAGCAGGGAGGCTGGTATACTAGCAACAATCCCAACTGATCCTGTGAGCCCAACTTCAGAAACAGGGTCACACAATCAGAGACTTGGGGAGTGTCAAAAGAGACACTCTGATGACCACTGCCACGCCACCTCTCCCACCCTGGGGTCTCAGCTGGTGCCAAACTCTAAACTCAGCTGGGCACATCTCCGAGAGGGGACACCCCCTTCCAGAGGCAGCCAGGTCTCAGTGATGCATGCCAGGTCTGCTTGCTCCTCCTCAATAAGACCGATCTGGCATACACCAGCAGTAGCTGAACCTCAGGGCCTCTGAGGGAATGCTGTCCAGGAAATGGGAATGAGCTCAGGGGGCCAGAACAAATCGCTGATACTACACATTGGGGGCATCTTCCCCTGTAATGGCCTGCCCTCTGGTTCCTGTAGCATCCCATGCCCATCACCACTCTAATGCGTTGTCCTGCCACACGTCTCCCAAGGTGATTATGCCCCCCCCGACCTCCCCCTTTCTAGAGCTAAGGGCTCAGTCATCCCCTTCCAGTCACTCTCATGCACTTCCTCAGACATCCTGGGGTGGGTAGGTGAGGGAGGGAGCTCGCACAGTGCTATAGCTGAAGCTCTCAGCACTAGCTGGGCTTCCACCTCTCCACTCCCCCCACCACATATGTGATATCCTCCCACCTCAGCTGGTCCCTCTCACTGGCTAGCGAAGGAGAGGATATAATGAATATCCATGTATTTAATCCTTTTTCCCTTTTATCACCTTGAAAAATCCTTTTCAGAAGAATTCTGGAACCTGCAACCAAGGCCTATGACGGAAGGGGAGTGACATGTTGCTCTGAAGCCTCACATTGTAAACCTCTGCTGGAGCAGATTATAGCAACAGTCACTGCCCAGCTGTCCATTTTTTCCCAGCCTAGCCATGGAGAGGGATCAGAGTACTTAACAGTTCTGCACAATAAGCATGAAAAGATCTGCATGTCACTCCAAAGACTTTTACCTTATCACTGTCTCCACGCCCTTCAGAACTGGTACTGCCCAAATTGGTGCCAGAGGAAGAAGCAAAAATGCCAGCAGAGGGAGGGCCTACTAAAACCTGGTTCAATGTCCCTGGCAACCCCCCTGTAGGGGTGGTAGGAGTTGAAGCACTGCTTCCTAGAGGCATTGATCCTTGCAAAAGGTAGGAGACAGGTAGGACAGCCAGATGTGAGGCAGGTGGATGACTGGGCGGTGCTGGTGGCTGAGGACGAGCTAAGGAAGCTAAGGACTTGGTGTGAGTCAAGATCTGGAATAAGAGAATAAAGAAAACATGGTTAAGATGGCTTGGCTTGGCTTGTGAAGAAGACAAAACCCTTGGCCTGCTGCTAGGCTACTGTGACATATTCCATAATTTCCATTTTTCATACTCCAGAGCAGAATACTACAATGTTCATTACTTCAAAATTGAAAATAGCAGGTAAATAGGTCTACTTGCCTGTATACATAAAAGTCATGACGAACAGTGAATTCCCTTCTCTGGGAGCCCGAGAAGATCCCACTGGGTACAACTGGATATTGTAGATTACTAAGCAAGGTTGACATTCTTTTTAATGTTATAGCTGGAGAGAACTAGCAATCCTCCAAATATTGCTGGAGTGCAATTCCCAGCAGCTCCTGCTAGTATGGCCAATGGTGAAACAATGCTGGAGGCTGTGTCCTCATCCTGATAACATGCTTTAGGATTGCTTAATAAATCTAACTCCCTTTACATGGAGCCCTTTGTTTTGAAAACTCCCCCTGTGCCCATCAAACTGTATCTGTTAAAATTGTAATTCTTACTTCAGAAGAGAGAGAAAAGAAATTGTTATTTTGTCACTTCTGTTAAGGAGGATTTAACTGTGAGATGGCTCCAGAATGCCATGTAATTACAAGAAATTATGCAACTGGACACATTTTACCACAGCACCTCACATGTTTATCTGGAAAGGAAGTGCACTCTTTTATTTCAAAGTAAAAAAGTACCTGGCAACAACCTTGTCCAGCTGGTATCCTGCAAACAGACTGGACTACAACTCTAGTGATGGAAGTTGGGATTCAACACATCTAGAAGCCACCAAGCTGTGGAAGGCTACTTCAAGAGTGTTTATTAGGTTTTAAAACAGCTTATTGATCTAATTGTTTGCATGCATGTTGGTTTCAAAAGGAACATGTTTCAAACCACACAAAAGCTTTTTTTTGTTTCAGAAAACACATGAAATTATATGGAGGTCAGCGATGTGGTCAGTTTAGGAAGTGGGGGAAACTGTTACTCCAGGATAAAAGCAGCTCTGATCCCTCAGTGGTGGATCAATGCCAAGGCCTACTTCGTGTGAGCTTTAAGGGAAAAAAACACCCACAGGTTTCTCAACTTCTCCCTGCAACCATGAGAACCAAAAAAAGGAGCATTAAATATAAAGTAACCAGATGTGCCGCAATTCTCAAGATGCCAACTTTGGTGTCAAACAGTAGGTCTTTCTTGCATAGGGAAATGGAGTACAGTGTTCTGGGCTTTGAAGCTGTACCCCCACCCCCCCAATATGTGCTAGCCTTGTCTATTTCAAGATAAACTCACACATCCTTGGAAATCTTGCACCCATTTTTTGTCAAGGTTATCAGCACAGCAATTTCTGATGACACCTCCCACCATCAGCAACCATATTAATATTAGAACAAAATTGTGTCTATATTCTAGAAACCTCATCAAAATTTCAAGGAGATCCATTGGAGCCTAATTGTTCAACAATTCGAGCTAGCCAAAAAAATGCTAGCTGCTGTGAACACATTTTGCAACCAAGCTACTCAAAATTCATACTCAATCACCCAAATTCTCAGAATTTATTACCTGACTGGTTGCTTGAATGAGTTCCTGGGCTTTTGCCCGGCTTGCAAGATTGGCCTCTTCCATCTTGAAGAGGAGAGCAGTCACTAAGTAAAAAACAAGCGTCTTAGAGAAAAGTTCCAAAGCATGGAAGAGGGAAACAGGTAGATACTGAAGTGCCTAATGTCCCATATCTCAAGACTATATTTTGCAATAAAAGTCATTCCCACGGCAGGACATTGCCACAACCACGTCTCAGACTCTATGCTTAGACTTGCCCTATCCTCAGCTTGGAAAGCAACACTGAGAGATTTGTAACTTGACAAGACTAAAAACTAAGGATGTACAGTGCTTTGGATTCAAAGCCAAAAAGATGCTTTGAAGCAGGCAGAGCATGCACATCAAACCACACACCACCACTTCTGGCAAGAGGAAATAAGAAGCACTTACTGTCAAACCTACAACGAACCTGGCTGAAGCCATCTTGCTCATTTTTGGGTGCCACAAGATTTGGGGGGAGGAATGGGAAGTTTTATGCTAGCCTAAACAATTCTCTGTCCCGTGGGAACCAAGGTCATTTCTGTTCCCTCGGCCGGGGGGGGGGGGTTGAGCCTAATGTCAGAAAGCCTGCCAAACTAGTCTGTTGGGAAACGCACTTGATTGCATAGGTTATGGGGTGGGAATTTTAACTTTTTAATACTGTTGCTTTTGGAGGGAACTTTAGTCTTGGTTTCACTGTGGTGAATCCGGGTGAGACCTTTCCTCCCTCTCTCTGTCCTGACTATTTGCCTGTAAAAAGTTTTTGATCACTTCCCTGTCTTAAGAGAGCAGTGTCTATCTACTTGGGAAAGAAAGTTTTAAAAGAACTAAAATAGTTAAAAGTTTTATTGACTACTCGATTTTTCTCTTTGGATACCTAGGGGCCCTGAAAAAAATAAAAAAAGAAACGCTATATTTTTTACTTTATCTATTATACCGGAGATACCTGTTTTTGCTTTTTCTGTTTCCTGAAAGTGATAAATTTTTACCTATTTGGAAGAGTTTACATTCCACTGAGGACATCTTGTGGCGAAAAGTGCCATTACAACTGTATTTTCTTTTGCTATTTGAAGATGAATTTGACCTTCAAATGACAACAAAAGGGAAAAGGAATTTTAACTTTTTAATACTGTTGCTTTTGGAGGGAACTTTAGTCTTGGTTTCACTTTTGACTGTGCCGATACTTTGTAACCAATAAACATGTTTTTAGAGGAAAACTCAAGCCTCGGAGTTCTGCTTTAATTGGTCTTATCTATCGGAACCATGACATTTACCGTGTTTCCTGAAAATAAGTCCTATCCCAAAAATAAGCCCTAGCTTGATTTTTACACGTGCACCTAATATAAGCCCTACCCGCCAAATAAGCCCTAGTTAAGACCTCGCCCACTCCGTCCGTCTGGTTGTACGAGGTGGGGCGAGGCGCATGTGTAAAAATCAAGCTAGGGTGGTGGGGTGGGGGGGTGGACCTGCCCCACACACCCCACACCCGCTTACCTCAGGACCACCACAGCCAGGCCTCCCATACCCTGACACTTGCCTCGCCTCACGGCAGTGGCACCAACAGTACCATCCAGGAGCCCGCATGGCCACTGCCGGCCCACTTCTTCTGCAGCCACTCGCCATCGCTTGCGTGCGTCGCCCCCGGCATCCGTTTCGCCAGCAGAAGCCTTCAGGAAAGGCCTCTGCAGCCCAGAATGGAGCTCTAGGATGATGTGCACGGTGCCCCCCAGCCTCCATTTCGCTGGCCTTCAGGAAAGCTGAGAATGGAGGCCGGGGGAGGGCGACACACACATCAACACGGAGCTTCGTTCTGGGCTGCAGAGGCCTTACCTGAAGGTCTCTGCCGGCGAAATGGGGACGATGTGCATGAGCAACTGCAGAAGTGGGCTGGCGGCGGCCATGTGGGCTCCTGCTGGATGGAATGAGCTGTTGGTGCTGCCGCCGCGAGGCAAGATAGTGGAAAAGACATCCCCTGAAAATAAGACCTAATGCCTCTTTTGGAGGCAAAAGAATTATAAGACTGGGTCTTATTTTCGGGGAAACACGGTAGCAACTTTCTCCTCCTACTACTTGTTTTGGCAATTCATGTTGCTGATTGGGTTCCCAGTGCAGATTCCTAAGCTTTTATTTCAAGCATTTTCCAGAGAGCAAAAAACACTTGGCCAGACTCCAGAGCTGATGGCGGAGCAACAAATATTTGAACTACCCAAGCCTCAACTGAATTTGATCAATCAGCCTGCTTAGTCTCCAAGTCTCTGAAAAAACCCACAATATACTGTAAAACTCCTTTTAAAAAAGGAATGTTTTTAGAACATCTTATTTTGTCTAAGATTTGCAGAGCCTCACTGTAACCATATCTACCAATAAACTGGGTCCTCCCAAACCCCCACTCATGACGGACTCTCCCCCCAACACACACACTAGTCACCACGATACCTACATGCCAATACACCACTAGTGCAGTCTAATCCCCCCTGCAGATTCCGTGACATTGGAGCAGGGGGTTGGGGCAAACTATGGGGAAGATGGGGTGGCTGCTGCAGTGGCTGGTCCTCTTTGGGCTCAGACAAACTGTCTGCTTCTGGCTCATCATTTGGTACCCTGGGCTGCTCAACAGGGAGCTCCTCAGAAAGGAAGGAGACATCAGGTGTCTTGCAGCTGCTGTCCACTGTCTGGGAATCAGGGGTGAGTTTCTGGCCTGGGCCAAATGGCTGAGGACTTGGTGGCTTGGCTGTGCCCGATTTCTCTGAACCAGACCATGAGGGCTCCTCCTTAACCTTCAAAGGGCTGACTGCACCCTGACTGCAGCTATCAGCTTTGGATTTCTTTAACCCAGTCTTGACTTTGAGTTTCTTCTTTTTCTTGGGCTCTGAGGCACCCTTTGGCTTGATGCCCTTCAGTTTCTTCACACCCATTCTGGCTTTCAGTCCTTTGACTTTCTTGGGCTTGAAGCCTGGCTTTTTAACATCAGTCATTTCATCTTGGCCTGCTGCTGGTGCCCCAACCATCAACACCTTCTCTTCAGACTTGAGGAAGGGTGAACGGCTCTCCTTGTCTCGGCTGAACTTTACACAAATAGAACCCATTTCCTTGACTGATGTGGTACTGCTCACCCCTTCTTGGATCAATATAGCAACCTTGGACTGGAGCTTCACTTTCCGACCTGGGTCCAGCGTACTATTCTCTTTCTGGCTTCCAGCTTTTATCTTTTTCCCTGTTTTGTCCCTGTCAGGTTGGGCCTTTTCTTCTATCTTGGGTAATTCTTGCTGCTCAGAACTAGGAGGTCCCTCCTTCAGCTTTTTTTTGCACTTCTCTTGGGCTCCGGGGCAGTCCTCCAGATAGGCCCTCTTGAGTTCTTTTTCCTTGGATAACTTTTGTTTGGTGTCCTCCTCAGGCTTTTTATCTTTGCGGGATGAAACTGCATCCTCCTTAGGATTTAGCCACACTGTACTAGATTTGGAGTCCTCGGCAGGCTCACGATCTGAGAAGCAAGCATCAAAGCTCATACCCTCAGAATCATAAACTACCTCCCTCTTAGCTCTCTCTGGTGTCTCCAAAAGCCCCTCCATTTTCTTCTGCTGGTTGACTGTAATGGTCCTCTTGATGGTGAAGAGATCATTGTCATTGAGATCCTGGATTGAAGGTGGCACCACAGTTCTTGCATCTCTCAGTCGCTCGATCAAGGCTGTCTCAGGCTTGGGCTCCTCCAGAAGATGGACCTCTCTCTCTTTGTCCTTAGATAACCGATGGGAGAGATGCTTCTCACATGAGCAAGACTTGTTCTTTCTGCCACCTTCCCCATGATGTTTGTCTTTGTGCCTAGTGCAATGAGCACAGCTGCTGCTGCTGTTCCTATGTGACCAAGAATGATGGTCATGGTGTTTCTCCTTTGACTTAGATCGCCTGCTCTTGTGTTGCTCAGCTGAAGTATGTGAGGATCCAACTGCAGACAAGCTGGTGTTAATTGAAGGGGACCAGGAGCGAGAGGTTCGGTGATGTAAGCGGAGCCTCGAGGTCCTCTGGCGTGAATGTTGATGATCTTTGGATTTTGAGCATGATTTTGATTTCTTCTTTGGGTTCCAGGAAGAGCCATATGTCTCCTTGGTTTTTGATGCCTTGTGTTCTTGTGATCTTTTACATTCTCTTTTTGACTTCTTACATGAAGCAGAGCTAGAACCAGAGTGAGCTTTGGAGGCAGGGCACTTGGGAGCAGGTGGAGGTGGTGGTGGAGGCAGAGGTGATATGGCATGATGGTAGCGTTCTTGTCGCTGGGTCAGGATCTTCCGTCTCAAGTCCACACCTTTCCAACGTGGATCTAGCTGGCTTTCACTAAAGTCAATCTGTAAGGATCCTTCCTGATCAGAGTCTGCGTGCAATAATAGGAAATCATCTTCTTCCATCACCCGGAGAGTTCGTTGCTGAGCTGGCTGGCATCTACTTCGGAACAATTGAATGGGACTATACCGCTCATCCTCTGGTTGGACAATCTCGCCTTCTTCAATTTCTGATTCACCACCACCACTTCCATCCCATTCCACTGATGACTGGCGCCCAACCCAAGGATATCTACCTCCTTTTGACATTTTCTCTCCACCCCTCAGTTTAGCATTTCCAATGGTCACTACCTCTAAGGACACCTTTCCTTCCAGCGGGATCTTGGCTTCAGCATCCAAGCATCCTTCGGGACCAAAGTCCACCATGAATACCTGGCGGCATGGTTCTGAAGCTTTAGATTCTGCCTGATCTGAGCGAAGCTCCTCAGGCAGGGTGGAATCAACACCAGGAAGCCCTTTGCTCTCAGGGCTCTCAGCAAAACATATTGCCTCAGTCTCATAATCCCTTCTAGGTTCTATTTCTGGTTCTGAATCTTCCTGTCCTTTATCGGAGCTAGGGAAATCTTGGCTCAAACTATTTTCATCGTACATTCCAGCCAGTGTTTCTGAAATGCGGCTAATGCTATGTGACATATCAGGGGGATGTTGATCATGGTCATTGTCTTCATCCTCATCGTCCTCAAGTGAAGGGGTACTAACAGAGGAGCTGGGATTGGAGCCTGTGGGGTCAAAGGGATCATATTTCTGGTCATGCTGCCCACCCTCTGCTTCTTTGTGGGGGGAATCCCCAAAGCCAAAATCACCATTGAGGTAATCTTCATCAGTAGGGTGGAAAGGATCATAAATATCTACGTCTCGGGACTGCATGGAGGGGCAGGGATTTGAAGAGCCACCACCTTCACCAGGCAGGCCCTGATAGTGGGACATGGAAGAAGAGGATAAAGAGCAAGAGGATGAAGAAGAGGTGCTAGAATTGGCCTTGTCCAGGGAGTTACCAGGTGGTGGCTGGGACCGTTGCTGAAATTCAGACTCTTGACCAGCAGCACTCTGTGGATGTTGTTGCCCCCCAGTGGAAACCCCTGTGCCAATTCCCAAAGTCATGGCCAAACAAGGTGAAGAAGTCCTGTTTGTTTTAGGGGACTGCAAAACCTCGCTTCTTTCTAAAACAGAAGTCCAAGTAGCCCTGTGTGTTAAAGGCAGAATTGTATGTGGGTCTAGAACATAGGATTGCTCTGAAACAGAGGGGCGTCCAATTTGGCAGGCTCTGCTTCCTCTCCAGCAGGGGGAAGATGATCCAAGGCAAGCTGTAAAAATCAAATGAAGTTATCAGAAATGCACCAAAATAATTTTTAAAAGAAATCTGCATTATAAAAGAAAGAAACTCTTATGTTTCTCAAACACTACTGTATTAAGTCTAACATAGCTGAAGGGCACCACACTGGTGAACGTTATTGTGGTCTAACAATCCACTAAATGAGCTGCTCCTAAACATGACAGCCCCATTTCTCATTTCTGATAAACTAGTTCTTGGATTTACCAGCTACAGGACTTGGTATTACTGCAGAGGCTCTCATCAGTGGAAGAAGCTTTAAATTCTAGGCTGGCAGGCAGGGAAAGTAGAGGGACCAGAGGCAGGACATCTTTTGATTATTTTTGGAGGATTTCCCGTGTAAAAGAAAAAATCTGGGCTGATGAAAATTCAGCTTACATCAAAACATACACAGTAATGAATCGGGGAAAGGGAAAATTTACAGTACATTTACCCCACTAAAAAGTAACACATTTTGTATCTTGCTGCTAGGCTTGCCAGCCCAATTTCCTTGGCCATAATATAAAACTGTTGGCTCCAGACCAACAAAATGGGGAGTAGGAACACAAGGCTTGAGGTATCTCTGCCAGAAGAGGACTTTTGGTCCATACAGGTAGTCCTTGACTTATGACTGTAATGGAGCCTACCATCAGTCATAAGTCATGATGGTGGTAAAGCAGGTCACCCATGTGACCACCCTGACTATACAACCTTTTTTGTGGCAGTCGTTAAGCAACTGCTGCAGTCGTAAAGTGACCACCATGGTCATAAATCGAACACTATGGTCATAAAGCAAACCAGTGGTTCGCTATGGGCCAGTTTTGCCCAAACCCAGAAATGCCAGGTTTTGGCAAAAAATGTCATAAAACATGGTCACATGACAGCGGGATGCTGTAAACAGCCATAAATGCGGGCCGATTGCTAAGCACCCAAAATGTAACGTGACTTAGGTGTTTGTGTGGCCACTGGAACTTCAGAACTGGGTCATAAGTAGCCCCAGGGAGGTCCATTGTAACTTCAAATGGTCACTAAGTGACTGGTCATAACTTGAGGACTAACTGTATTTCTACCCTCTTCCTCCTTATTTGCATATGCATATGCAGGTCCAACCACACACCAGCCTTCTGCATCCTCTAGGACAGGTTTCTTCTGGAGATGCCTGAAAGAGCACCAACATCCCCCAGCTGCATTTCAGTTACCAGCTCCACTTCTTCTATATCTTCATCCCCACTGTTGAGAAACAGACAGACAATTAGGATATTCATTCCATTTATCCTTTTAGAGTCCATGTTTAACCCTTAAAGCTTCAAAGGTAGAAAGCCTATGTAACACAGGATTGACACACAGAATCCTTTTTTTTTTAAACAAATTTTATTGGTTTTTTAAATTCTTAAGGCAACATATTCAGGACACACCGTGGTGCTGGGATAATCAAACATCTTAAAACAAGACATATATACATAATATAATCAATACATCAAATATTCCCTCTCTTTTTCCCTCAAATAGCATAGTATATTTGGAATATCCAATTCTAGCTTAAATTTATTCAACTTGAACCTGTTTTCAAGCTTCATCAATTTCTAGCATAATCAAATTAACTTTAAATAAAAACATTTCCAATTCAAATATCCCTTCCACATACATTCTACTTTCTTAATTTTATCAAAATCTTATTTGTTTCTTCTTCCATTAATCTCCCTTATTTAGAGTAAAATATTAATCTATCCTGTACCTATCAAATCTATCAATTGATCTAACTCTTCAAGTTAAGAAAAATAATATCATACCTAAAATCATGTCATTTCATTAAACAAAATTCAAATCTCCAATTAAATATCATGACTAATAACATCCATATCATCAGAAAATCGTATCTTATTAAATTTCAATTAACTGTTAGTTCACTTCAAATCTGAGACATCTCTTCAATTTTTGTCATTTCATTACATCATAATTTTCATAGAAATAAACCTAACATTCTAAAAAGAACATTCCTAGTATTCTAATTTGTGTTTAATCCCTTATATAGAAAGATATCTCATTTTTAAACAAAAATATTAATCTATCCTAAACACTTCTAAATATATGTATTTATCAAACTATTCTATAGATATCTAATCCTTCACTTGATCAATCTCTTTAAGTTAACACATTAATATCAAACCTTACATCATTTCAATCCTTTAAGTAGAGTTTAAATTTCACACGTTATATGACAAACAAGTCATTGACATGGTTCCGAGAAGAAGTAACTTTTCAAAGAACTTTGAGGCTTAATTACCTTAAAGAATCCTTTAATAGATTACATGCTTCGGCACAAACAAAAGGAAGCCAAAAACTGAAACCCCCACCACCCAAGCACTCGTGACAAAGCACAACTCCCTCCCTCCTTTCACAGTCATCAATCATATGCTCCAATTAATTTGAAGGGTGAATCGCTCCCCCCCTATTCTCTGCTATTGCTCTCTGCTGTTACGCTGACCTTGGCTGTGCTATGCAAAGATAATGTTATTATTCACTGGCATTCCTCCCCACTCACACGGTTAGTAATGTCTGCTTTAACCCTTGAAGTGACATGTAGACTAAATAAGATATGTTTGCTTCTTCACATATGGCAAGCAATAACATCCAATGTTAGCAGACTTGACATCTGGCCCCCCTTAGACGAAGGACAGATCCTGTAAAGTAAATAAAAGCATAGGTTAAGAGTCATCTATTGGTTTGGTGGGGTTTTTCATATGAAACCTTTTGACCAATCGGTCAGCTTTCACTTCACTGGATTTCACCCAGGTGGCTTCAGATAATGGGTACCCCTTCCATTGCACTAGGTACTGCAATTTCCCTCTGAAAATTCTAGAATCAAGAATGTGCTTTACTTCGTAGTGGGTTTGTCCCGCAACCACGAGAGGCCCAGGTGCCTTTTTTGGAGGAGGTCTTAACGTGGAGCCCCGATATGGTTTCAACAAGCTACAATGAAAAACTGGGTGAATTTTCCCTAAGAGTTTAGGGAGCTTTAGCTCTACTGTGACTGGGTTGATGATTCTTACTATGGGGAAAGGCCCCAAGAATTTTGGCCCCAATTTCTTGCTGGGCAACTTGAGGCGTA